TGGGCTTGCAATTTCATGCGCCAGTTCCTTTAATATTCTTGGATGAAGATTATCTGTGCCCCCGATTTAGTCCCATTACCTTGAATGTGGTAATATCTGCCTCCATGTCCTCATTCCCATTTGTCATCCTACCATTATCCCTAAGCTTCTCATTAAAGACTGAGGCAAAGTATTTGTTTAGAAACTGGGCCATGCCTAGATTATCCTTAACCTCCACTCCATCCTCAGTGTTTAGCGGTCCCACTTCTTTCTTCTTTGTTTTCTTCTTATTTATATGGCTATAGAACGTTTTACTATTGGTTTTAATTCCCCATGCAAGGTCCAACTCTACATGGCTTTGGGCCTTTCTCACTTTATCTCTACATCTTTATCACTTTATCTCTATTCTGACCTCAATAAGGTAGCTTTCCTTGCTGATCCTTCCCATCTTCCACTCCTTGTAGGCTTTCTGCTTTTTCTTAATCACCTCTCTGAGATGCTTGCTCATTCAGCTTGGTCTACAACTCCTGCCTATGAATTTTTTCCTCTTTCTTGGGATGCAGGCTTCTGATAGTTTCTGCAACTTTGACTTGAAGTAATTCCAGGCCTCCTCTGCCTTTAGATCCCCAAGTTCTTCAGTCCAGTCCACTCCCCTAACTAATTTCCTTAATTTTTTTAAGTTAGCCCTTTTGAAATCAAAAACCCTAGTCCCAGATCTATTTTTGTTTATCCTTCCATTAGTTTGAACTGAATTAGCTCATGATCACTCGAACCAAAGTTGTTCCCTACAACCATTTCTTCTATGAGGTCCTCTATGAGGTCCTCACTACTCACCAAAACCAAATCTAAAATGGCATCCCCTCTTGTTGGTTCAGCAACTACACCTCTACCCTGATATAACACTGTCCTCGGGAGCCAAAAAATCTTACCATGTTATAGGTGAAACCACATTCCATCGAACTTGCTTTGGTCCGTCGGAGTGTGCAGCCCTGCCCCCCCCCGGAGCACTGCTTTACCGTGTTATATTCGAATTCGTGATGTATCGGGTCGCATTATATTGGGGTACAGGTGTACTTGGTGAAGGAATCCATCAGCTATCGCATCCAGGAAAATCTGAGCCCTATTATTATTACTAGCACTTGTCCTCCAGTCTATATTTGTATTGTGGTAGCACTTAGGCGCTCTCGTCCTATCCGCTGGGCACTGCACACACGCAGAACAGGCTCGCAGGTGCTGCACGCAGTGGGTCTGATTCTGCACTCGCGGTGTAAATGGGAAGTGACGCCACTGAAGCTGATGGAGTCACAACCTGTAAAGCCTGTGTGCTGAGCAGAGTCAGACCCAGAGCCTCCGTGTGTTTCAGTGAGCATCAAGAATAGCATCCAATGGGGGCTGCCTGCTACTCCGCACCTCTTAAGAGCATCTTCCTATGTGTATTTCTGGGGGGAGAGCAGAGACTGGAGATGGGTCTTCCTGGAGTGGACCTGTCATCTGAATGTCCTTCTTGGCCCGGCAGATTTGGGCTGGAGAGGCAGGTGGGATGGGAGGGGGTTGGTTGGGAAGAGCTGCCTTGTCCTATTTTTCACCAGAGTGGAGAGCTGCAGCTTCCCCAGCTCCATCTCTCTCCACCAGGACAGGTGGGTGCCTGGGTGTGGGTAGCACCTTGGCCCTGTCCTGGAGTTGTGGGCAGCTGGGTGCCTGTGCCCATTGGTGTCTGTCATTCCAGAATCATTGGCACCCCGGGGCGCCTGATGCACGTGGCTGTGGAAATGAACCTGAAACTGCACAGTGTGGAGTACGTGGTGTTTGACGAAGCTGACAGGTCAGTTCATGACATTGCCGTAGCTGAGATTTCACCTTGGGGCATTTGTCAGCCCCTCTGTTCCCAGGGGCTCCCAGTAGGACCCTCTGTCAGCCAAGTGTGACAGTTGCACCACCAGGGAGGAGATGGGGCTTGGTGCCATTGCTGCATCCCGTGGACACAGAGGTGTGAGTGTGGATTCCCAGGGGAGAGCACTCAGCTACGACAGGCTCCGAGTGCCTGATGAGTGAGATGTGAGGCCAGTGGGGGAAAACGGACCAGGTCAAGGATCTTGGGAAAGCAACCAACTGGTGCAATGATGCCCTTTCTTATCGGCTGATGCTGGGCTAGATCTTCCACTTGCAGGGCCAGCGCAGGAGCTGGCATGTGGGATTCTAGGGCTCCTGGGTGTTGGATTTAAGGGCTCGTCCTGGGAGGAAGCAGCTTGTCCCGGTGCATGGGGATATACTGCTTTCCTGGGTGCTGCGTGGGATGGTAGGGCCCCAGCTGTGGGGGTGGGGGTGGCTTGCTGGGTTGTGTGGCTGCTGACCTTGGTGGTGTTGACCCCCCTCAGGCTCTTTGAGATGGGGTTTGCGGAGCAGCTGCAAGAGATCATCGCCCGGCTCCCCGAGAGCCGCCAGACCCTGCTTTTCTCTGCCACGCTCCCCAAACTGCTCGTGGAGTTTGCTCGGGCCGGTAAGGAACATCCCTCACTCAGCCCCACACGGGAGAGATGAGGGGCTAGATGGGGAGGGGGTAACAGGCTGAATGGCAGGTGAGCTAAGAGTAGTTTTAGCTGTGCTGACCCGTCCTTTTGGGGGAAGGGAAGGGTTACCCACCTGCTGTTGCCCTGTTCGCCCCAGGCCAGGTGCATCCACGCTGCCTGTGTCCCACCTACTCCTTTCCTCTTCAGTTCAGGGGACCTTGCCCTGTCTCTTGCAAAATGCATTTTAGTGCTTGTGAGAGCAGGCAGCTAATTAAAGCTGGGGCATGGTACACTGTGGGCTCCAACTCCTCCGCCGGCACATCCCCCCTCCTGACCTGCAGCGCCCCCTGCTGGGCCAGTCCAGTATGCCTTTCAGAAGCTGTGATTGCCCCACTGTACGAGTCTACCCGTGAGTCTGCTACCTTGGCCTCTTCTTATCCAGTGTGAATTCAGGCGCCCCTTGCCCTGGGCTCATGTTCTCCTGCCTCATTCACAGGTCTCACTGAGCCAGTCTTGATCCGGTTGGACGTGGAGACCAAGCTCAGTGAGCAGCTCAAGGTGAGATGCGCTTGGGGGTCTTCAAGGCTATTGAGTTCGGGAGGGCTGGGGTAGAGGAGATTGGGGCCATCTCTTGGTTCTGGGTCTGCACAGCACCTAGCAACATGGGTCCCTGGTCCATGTCTGGGCCCTAGGCTGTAGTGCAATACAAATAACAACTCCCCGTTTGTCTGAGCTCATCCCAGCAGAGCCCTCAAGCTCCAAAGAGCACTGCTGTCGGCTGGCACGTGGGAAGGAGGTGGAGGACCAGCTGTATGAGTTGTATGGCCCTTCCTCCTCAGCCCCTGCCGGGAGGGCCCCCATGTGTATATGTGCCTGCCCTTCTCTGGACTGCTGTATTTCACAGCTGCAGGCAGTGTGCAGCGCCCCCTCCTGGGGCTAGTAACTGACGCCAGGGTGGACGAGGTGCTACCGTGAGCCTGATCCCATCAGGAGCCTCAGTTAAGTGTGGCCCTGACAGCAGTAGCTGGTGTTGGCACCTGTAGGCAGACTCGGGTAGAACCTGAGCCCAGGTGAGGCAGACGGACTTTCAGGGTGGTTCCCCCAAGCCTCCAGGGACCCAGTGTAGATTGGAGGGCAGCAGAAACCTTCCATCCCTTCCCATTAGCCCCAAGAGGTGCTTTCCAGACAGGGCCAAAGAGCTGCCCAGCCAGCGGTGCCAGACAAACCGAGGGTGGTGGGCTGCAGCACAGGGCTGTGTTATTTCACTGGTAGCCTCTAGAAGCCTCGGTGGTGGATCAGGACACCGTGGTGCTGGGCGCTTTACAGCACCTGCCTCAGTCAATTGAAGAGAAAGCACAGCCTGCGTTGTTAGCCCCAGCGTCTCTGGCTTGTGACGCTTCCAGGGGGGTCATTGAGGGGGCAGGGAGGGACTTCCCACCTCACCCCTCTCTCCGTTGGCAGCTGGCCTTCTTCCATGTGCGCGCAGATGACAAGCCGGCCGTGCTGCTGCACCTGCTGAGGAGCGTGGTGAGGCCGCAGGATCAGACAGTCGTCTTCGTGGCCACCAAGCACCATGCGGAGTACCTCAAGGAGGCAAGTTGGGGAGCCAACGCGCCATGGGCCCGGCCCTACCGGTGCTGTGCAGTCTGCTGGGCCTGGGCCCGGGCCTGGTGGAGCCGTGGGAGACGTAGCAGGGTGGGGATACAGGCAGTGCTGAGACCAAGGCAGAAGGGGCAGCTCTCACTAAGCCCTGGCAGAGAAGGGGGAGCTGCTGGGGGTGCTGCTTCCCCAAGGCAGGGAGGAGGGGGAAGGAGCCCTCTGCTTCTGTGGCTGCTGCAGGCCTCTGGCTGAACTGGTGCCTGAGCAGCATACAGCAAGGTTGGTGTGCTGGGGGGGCCCTCCTGCCATGCACCAGGTGGCAGGGGAGACCTGGGGGCTCATCACCTGGCTCTAGTTCTCTGTGTGTGTGGTCGGAGTCGAGCCAAAGTTTCCTTCCCAAGACAGGCCCCTGCCTGAGCTTCCACTGTCTGACTCCTGTGTCCAGGAGATGCCAGGGAGTGTCAGAGGCTGGTGCTGGGCTGCCAGGAGAAGGAGGGGCATTGCCGATGGACATTACAGCTCTCCAGGAGGGTGGCGTGGGGAGGTCTAGCATGCTGCTGCTTGGCCAGCCTAGTGCATGGAGGAGGCAGGGATGCCGAGGGGAGGGAGGTGCAGCCTATCCTGAAGCTGCCAGATGGACTCTCTCCTCCCTTGGCTCTGACTTACATTGAGGTCCCCTGGTCTCTGGGGTGGTTCTCCCCTGCTGGGGGCCCGGGCGCTGACCTCTGCTCCACCCTCCTCCTCCCTCCAGTTGCTGACAGCGCAGGGCGTGAACTGCACCCATATCTACAGCTCCCTGGACCAGGCAGCCCGGAAAATCAACATCGCCAAGTTCGTGCACGGCCAGTGCGCAGTGCTGATTGTTACCGACGTGGCTGCCCGCGGCATTGATATCCCCATGCTGGACAATGTCATCAACTACAGCTTCCCTGCCAAGCCCAAGCTGTTCCTGCACCGTGTCGGTGGGTCTCTGGGGCTGGCTGGGCCGCGGGAGGGAGCTGGGCTCTAGGGCACAGCCACCTGTCCTGCTTCAACTGATCTGCTCCCTCCCGCCCTGGTCACAGCTCCGCCAGGCTGGTAAATGCCATGGAGGAGGGAAGCCTCTCCGCCCCCAAGTATTCTCCCCTGCTGGGCAGCCGTGTGCCATTGCCGGAGCCATTGCTGCAGGGCGTGTTGTTAACACCTGTCCCAGCCTGGACTCCCTGCTGCTGAATGCTGTCTGGGCTGGAGCCCTCGTCCCGGGGCTGGGCCCTGCCCAGGACACTGGGGGAACGCAGCATTTCAGGGAGGGGCACAGGAAGGTCTCAAATCTCAGTCTGCGGGGCAAGGCCCAGTTAGCCAGTGGGAAGGCGTGTGCAGTTTGGGGGCTATTCCCATTAGTGGCACGGGCACCGTTTGCCGGATCCCTTGAGAGCAGCGGAGTACATACTGAGATTCACCATCTGCAATGGGCACGAGAGGACGAGAACATCGTGCCGTCGTCCAGCCCTCCCCCGGATGAACAGCGTGATCCCCGCTGAGCGTGGGGGCCAAGCTTGGCTTCTTGGCCTCGGTCCCCTTAGCAGTTTCCCTGCCCCCGACCAGAGTAGGCACATTAGCCAAACCCTGAGTCCGTGGCTGTGGTTCCTAAGAGTGGCTCCACACTGGCTGAGCCAGGGCCAGCAGCCCTGGAGTTAACACAGAGCTATTCTGCCTTGCTTTCCCTCCCAGGCCGCGTGGCCCGCGCTGGCCGCAGTGGCACCGCCTACTCCCTGGTGGCATCGGATGAGACCCCATATGTCTTTGACTTGCACCTGTTCCTAGGGCGCCCGCTCACCCTCGCCAGCCCCCACGAGAAACCCTCAGGTAAGGTCCATCTGGGCACTGGCCCCCGTCCCCAGTGCTGGGGGGTGGAGTTGCGGGGGGAGCTCTCACTTGGCATTCCTGCTGGGGCTGGGCTTGCCTGGGGAGAGCCACGCCATGGCTATGGTGATGATACAGCCAGCCTCGCAGGAGGGCTGGGTCTCACTCCCCAGGCTGGGGTGAGGAAGCACCTTGTCTCTTACAGGCCTAGATGTCTGTGCTGGTTAACAAAGGGGTGATGGGGAGCTCTGGCAGCGACACTGAGCTCCCCTGCATGGCAGGACGTGCTGATGGGAGGGTGACTTTTGCTGCCAGAAGCCCTGTCTGCAGATACTCCACCCTGGCACAGGAGTGGGAAGTCTGGGACTTGGAGACCATAGGCAGGGGATGCTCTGGATGGAGGCAGGATGTGGAGAAGAGATCAGCTGTGTATGTCTTTAAAGGTTCCAGTTGCTCCACCCCTCTTAGCCTGTGCCTTGTCCCAGTGGGGCCCAGCCCCCCCATTGCAGAGTGCTGCTGCAAAGGCCACTCTCCAGGTCCCTGAACTGGGTGCAATCCCCGTTCTCCCCATCCCAAGTGGACACATGGGATGGGCTGACGCATGGGACCCCTGGGGAGAAGCTGCAGGTCCCGAACCCCTTCTGTCCCGTTGCAGACGGGGATGGGGTGTTTGGCAGAGTCCCCCAGAGCGTCATCGACGATGAGGAGTGTCTGCTGTTCACTGACCACGAGAGCTCACTGGATCTGCAGAGCCTGCGCAAGGTGTCGGAGAATGCGCACAAGCAGTACCTGAAGTCCCGTCCTGGCCCCTCGCCCGAGTCTGTCAAGAGGGTGAAGGAGCTGGACTTCTCCCTGCTGGGCATCCACCCGCTCTTCAGTGAGTGCCTGTCTCTGTCTGCGCCCTCCTGGCACGGCGGGAGCTGCAGCGGGGCCCATTGGGTGAGGCTAGGGCAGGAGCTGCTCCTGCCCTGCTCCCTACCACACTTCCTGCTGGAGCAGTGGGGCGCTCCCCATAGCCAGTGCTCGTCCAGCATTGCCTACAGCACCCCCTGCTGGGGGAGATTGGGCCTGGAACAGCTGAGAGAACGCTGGCGTTTCCTGCGGGGACTGGGAGCTTGGATATGTATTAGGCACTCACTGTTCTGTGTCCCCCTTCCTCTCTCTCTGGGCTCCTGGCTCGAAGGTTCTTGCTTTGGGGAGGATGAGCTGGAGAGACTGAAGTTCGTGGACAACATTAAAACCTACAGATCCAAAGCAGTGAGTACAAGCCGTGATCTGACACCAGGCCCCGTGCCTGTTCTGTGGGGAAGGGAGCTCACGCCAAAGCTACCAGCGGCATTGCCTCGTGTCAGAGCGAGGGGTCTGGCCTTTGCTAGCCCCTGACTCGGGCGTGGTGCCAGGGCCAGCGACCCAGCCAGAGTGCCACTGAACTGAATCTTGTCCATCCACCTTGGCAGCCCAGAGAATGAGGCTCACCCCTGGGGGGGGAGGGGTAGCAATAACCCTCGCAGCACCTCTGTGGTGCAAGGGAGTGTGCTTTAGGGATCGATCGCTGCCCCTCCACTGAGATGCAGCTGCCTAGGAGTTTAAGGTGGGAAGCAAGGAAGCTGGCACTCAGCTGCAAGTACTGCTCCTCAGGCTCTGGGAAGATGCTTCCGGCCTGCACCAGGGTTGCTGGGATGCTGCTGGGCCAGCTCCCTCGCTGTGTTACAGGTGCTGAATGAACAGTTCCACCAGCCCCTGGGACCAGAGACCGCCAGGTTGAGCCGCGAGCCCAGCAGACAGCTCCGCCCGCCCCCAGGAAGAGCAAGGGGAGGGGTCTCCCAGGGTACGCGTCACTCACGGTTTCCATCTCTCCGACCAGACCATCTTTGAGATCAACGCCACCAACAAGACCCTGGCCAGCGATGTGATGCGAGCCAAGCGGAGCCGCGACCGCAGCCTCATTGACAAGTACCAGAGGGGGCAGCAGGAGAGACGGGCTGGGGCTGCGCTGGGGGGCCAGGACCCAGCAGTCCCTGCCCCTGAGGAGGAGGAAGCAAACCTCCAGGTATGGACTTGGAGGGTGCCAGCTTCTCAACCACATCCACCACAGGGCCTGCCTGGGGACTCTGGGAAGCAGCCCGCCTGGCCGGCCCCGAGCCCTGCACTGTGTAGTGTCAGCCCATGGCTGGGGGCATCAAAGGGCTGGCTAATGTCATGGCCCCGGTAACACTGGCCGGTCTGTGTGTTGAGATGGGGGCTGGTGTGACTGTGCCGGGGGCAGGGAACAGTTTGCACAATTGGTAGCATTGCACAGCGGCAGGGGTTGGGTGGGCATCTGTATCCAAGGCACCAGCTGGGTAAGCTGGCTTAGCGGGTCCTGCCTGGAGAGTAGGGTGGGGGGTTGGCTGTGGACCTGGCCCTCCTGTCTGGTCTGTGTCCCAGGAAGTGTTCTCCGCTGTGGTGGGCAGGAAGCGGAAGCAGCATCAGGTGGGAGAGGGCCTCAGGAAGAAGCAGCGGCATGAGGCACAGCGGGATGAGGAGTTCTACATTCCCTACCGGCCCAAGGACTTGGAGAGCGAGCGGGGGTGAGTCACTTTGACCAACGCCCCCAGCGGCGGGATCCCCTGATTCTCCCAGCTCCCCGAACGCCTCTGACCTCTGCCTTTCCCCCGTGTTCAGGCTGAGCATTGGCGGGGAGGGCAGTGCCTTTGAGCAGCAGGCTTCTGGCGCCGTGCTCGACCTCCTGGGAGACGAGACCCACAACATGAGCAAGACCAAGCAGCTGCTCAAGTGGTAAGTGCCTGACCTGTAGGGGGCAGCAGCAGTCCAGCGAGAAAAGGCTTCTGCTGTGGGGAGGGCCATGGGGACAGCTGCCCCTCACACAGAGCACTCCCCACCTGGCGGGGGCCCTTTGATCCCCAGCAGGCAGCACCAAACGGTGGATTTTGCCTGATCACCCTGTCCTTGCTCTGTTGAGGGCTGGGGGTGTGAGTGCCACGGTGCCAGCTGAGGGTGGGATTCTCTCCACCAACCAGTTGGACTGGGGCTTGATTGCTTGTGCCCCTGGGGCTTGGGGGGAGAGCGCTCAGTCTTCCAAGTGGGGCTGATCGATGAGCCCCCATTTCTCACTCCCCCGTAATGCCATTCCACCCCGCTGCCCTGCCTCCACTCCAGGGACCGCAAGAAGAAGCGGTTTGTGGGGAAAACTGGCCAAGAGGACAAGAAGAAAATCTGCACAGAGAGTGGCAGGTACATCAGCGGCTCCTACAAGAACAACCTGTATCCTTCCAGACTGGGGCTGGGCTGGGGGCACTCCTGACAGGCCGGGGCGGAGGCGGAGGCAGGGCAGGGAGTGACGTGTATCCAGCCATGCTCTCTGTCCTCCCAGGACTTCCTGACTGCAGGGCAGCGTGGCGACTGCAGAGGATGCGCGTCTGAAGGGCAGGGAGCAGCTGGTTCCAGCAGCAAGGGGCGGGGCACTTCTGTGGCTGCTGCAAAGGGGCAGAGGCAATTCCAGTTTGCAATAGCAGGATGGCGTGGCTGCCTGCTGGCCGTTGCCGAGCTTTGCAGCTGGGGATCTTATGCACTGGGGAGGTAGGAGCCTGGGCTTCCTTCTAGGAAAGTCTTCTCCCGAGGGAGAAACCGCGGTAGCAGGCACAGGGGAGAACGCTGCAACTGCCAGCCCCAGCTTGCAGGGCCCTCTTCCTTCCCGATGCCTTGGGGCCCCGAGCTTGAAGAGGGGAAGCGCAGGGATTGGGATTAAGGTGAGGGGAGACATCGCGGAGGGCTTGCCCCCCAGCCCTTTCCTTAACCCGCCGCCCCCAGCTATGAGAAGTGGAAGAAGAAATACAAAGTTGAGGAGTGGGACTCCGAGGAGGAGGCGGGGAGCGAGCCGAGAGGCGGAGCGCACCGCAGGGGCAGAGGTGAGTGCCTGGGGGTGAAGGCCCTGCCCTGTGCAGACATTGGTGCCTGGGGGATCCAGGCAGGCTGATATGCAGGATAGCGTCCACATCACTGCTGGCTAGAGAACTGCTACCACCCCGGAGCCCAGCCGGCTGTGCGGGGCTCCGCTCTGTGTACCAGCCCTGTTCCCCCCTAGAGTCCATTCCCCTTGGCATGGCTCTCTAGCTCAGTCCCTGAGCCAGCGTCCTGGCCCCAGGGCGAGGTGCCTGGCAGGAGCTGAGCAGGGGGAGGGTTTTGAGTAACTCGTTCCCCCGGCAGGAGGCAAGCGGCTGGCGCCCGCCCCCGGGAAGCACGGCTCCCAGCAGGGCAAGGTGCACTCGGAGCTGAAGAGCAAGCAGCAGATCTTGAAGCAGAGGAAGCGGGTGGCCAAGCAGAACTTTCTGCAGACGGGCGGCCTGAAGCGGCTGAAAGGCAAGAAGCGGCAGCGGGTGCAGGAGCTGCGCAGGACGGCGTTTGGCCGTGGTGCTGCCAAGAAGGGGAAAATGAGGAAAAGGATGTAAAGAATGGAGCGTGGGAGGGCAGCAGGCCTGGTCTGAGCGAAGGGCTGATTCCCAGCCATCTCCCCTTTCTGGGGGTGAGCTGCCCCATGCAGACTCCGCCCTGGGCAGGTGCCATTAAAGGACATTGGTTGGTTTTCAGTTTCTGTTGGATGTTTGTCTCGAATGCAGCTCAGGGGCGGGGGGAGATGGCGGGAGTGCTGGGCAGGGAACAGAGCTGGGCAGGGGCAGGGCAGGCCTGGCTGCCTGTCCCTCTAGTCAGTACCTCCGGAAAGTTTCCAGCAGAAGCTGTTATGGTTGCTGAAAGATGGCCCTAGTCTGGACTGGTTTTCTCCAACTACTCACCTCTTCTCCCAAAGGACGTTCCTGACATTGCATGAGGCGGCTTTTAAAAGCAGTTTCTGATCATCGCACCTTCCCTCCCCCTCTGACAGCAGCAATGCTTGCTGCTCCCTGATTTCATTTGTTCCTGGAGAGCCCACTCTCCAGAAAGTGTAAGCTAGACCATGGATGAATTTGACCTCAAAGCCCCCTGTGCAGAAAGGTAACAGCAGCGAGGGGTTGCAGAGAAGAGCACTCACTTTCTGGGCCTAGCTGCAAAATGGTATTTATGTAATAAGAGCTATAGATCTCAGAGCGCATTGCAAAGGAGGTCAGTATTGTCCCCATTTTACAGATGGGGAAACTGAGGCACAGGGCGTGACTTGCCCAAAGTCACCCAGCAGGCCAGTGGCAGAGCCAGGACTAAAGCCCAGTCGGAGTCCCAATCCTGTGCACTGTCTAATCATTCCTGTCCAGCTGTATTCACCTGGTAATTCTATTTCTCTGCCTCTAGCCAGACAGATCCTTAGTCTCAGGGCTTAGCTCCTTATCCAGCTGCGGATACTCCCCTGCCTCTTCAGTATGTGACCATTGGTGGGAGCAGTAAGTGTCCTCCAGGCTCCCTGTGACACACCATCCCCTCCCAACTATGTCAGTTGTGGGGGAGGCAGCGCTCCCACAAAGAAAAGCCAATGCTAGAGCAAGAGATGATCAGAAAATCCATCTTTTAATAAAGAACCCCCAAAACTGTTGGTGAAAACCTGCACATCTGCTTTCTACAGAGAAGCATGGGGGTGTTTTTCTCCTCTGATAATACCAGCTGTGCAAGGTCCTCCACTCTCTGCACATAAAAAGATGGAGGGATGTCCCCAAAGGAAAATCAGTAAAGGTGCAATGGGCAGCCACAACATGGCCAGTACAAACTGGGACAGTTACAGATACTTCTGCAATCCAGTGTCGCCTATAACCGTGCAGGTGGCAACAGGCAGCATGTGCAGTCCCTGAGCCAGCCACCTGCAGTGAGAAAACATCACTTGCTTGAGACTTTAAATGCTTCCTGGGTCCCCTCAGCTGTTCTCTCCTGCTCAGAGCTGCGTGGCAGTATGCAAAGTGGGGAACTGGAGCAGAGTTTGACTTGTTTTTAAAAAGGGGCCTTACTTTTATTTCAGCCTAAATTGAACTAAGCTTTGTATCAAAAATCAATGTAAATAATGGCCCACACTTTTTTTACTCCAATAAACAATTTTTTCTATTGTCTTTCAACCTCCTTGCTGTGCATGCAACACAGACAACAGCCTAAGGGGACATTGGCTGGAGAAACTGACCGAGGCTAGTTTGGGCCCCAGCTGTTGTGCATGCCCACAGGTTGGATTTTGGAACCTTGTTTAACTAAATCAAGGAGGTGATGAAGTGTTTTAAACTGGGTCAGACAGTTGCTGCTTTAATCCCTGAATTGCTCAGTATTTCCCCAGAGGGGCTGTGCATTCTACATCAGTCCTAATGTTACAGAAGAAGGTTGGAAGACTCCAGACCCCGGGGTTAATGGTGCATCAGTAGGCAGAGTTGATGGCTGAAGATCACGGACTTCTGTCCCATGCATTTCAGGAGCCTTCTCCTAGGCAGCAAAGTCCTGCTGCTTGGGGCTGTCCATAGAAGTGGCCATAGCACATGCAAAGGCTGCAGGTGCGATGATTCCATGGGGCAGCAGGAGAGGAAGCTGCTCTGACAGGTCTGGTGGTTGTTGGCACAAGACCCTGGTCCAGCTGCCATGGAACAGAGAAGACAAATGGATGCTGTAGTGCAGGGGAAGCGGCAGCCTTCCAGTTGCCATGTGAGCCCACCTGGCTTAGGCCCTTTCTACCACACCAACAATGAGGCTTAAACACAGCTGGGATAGGATCGTGTTCCAGCATGGTTTCTTTTTGCCCATGTGCACAGGGCTAGGATCAAAGACCCAGACTGTAGTACCAGGTATACGGACATGGTTATTGCTCCACAGGCAGGAGCCACATGAGGTGTAGAACTGGGTCTAGCCCAGGAGTCAGGATGTATCAGCTGTGTGTGCCTGAGCCAAAGCGGATACGAGTCCTCCAGCTTGGGCCCCTTAGCTCAAGCTGGAGCCCCACCTGTGTTCAGCCACGGGGATGGTGGCCATCGCACGGGCTCACAAGCATGGTTGAGTTGTTTTTCGAATGCAGGCTTTGTCCACAGTGGAACCTCCCACCATTTCACTAGGGTGGTGCTCAGTCACCCTGCAGCACTGCTCCCCAGCCTGGTGGTGCCAACACAGCTGCAGCCTGGGCTCAGGGCAGGGTATGGGGTGACCTGAGGCTGGAATGAGAAGATGGTTTCTAGCCCTCAGCGGAGGGAGGTTCTGGACCAACCAACCCCCCCCCGGAGCAGGGGCTCAAACAACCACACTCCTTTGAAGCGGGAGCTCTGGAAGTTTAGGAATGGGCTGATGTGCAGGGCCTGCTGCACTAGCAGGGCCCGGACTCCGTGACCCAGGGCCCTTCTAGGCCACTGGAAACGTGGGAGGAGCTGGCAGCTCCCAGCCGTGGTTGAGCAGGATCGACTCCAGCAGGTTCCCTCAAACACAGGCATTCAGGAGCCATGGCCCAGTCAGCCCCTGCCCATGGTTCCTGCGACCCCAGCTGCTATGGTCAGTGGGGTGGGTTTGTTAATTTCAGGCAGGACACCCCCCAGCATCTCCCTGCCAGCAGTGTCCGGCTGGAAAGAGCAGCTGTGGGAGTGGTACCTCCCCCAGTAAAAAGCAGGGGCACAGCTGTTTAGTGGGTAATTTGTAGGACATGAACTGTGGGGGGAGGCTCCCCAGTGCCTGCTCTCCCCCTCCATCCACCCATTGGCCCATCTAACACGGACTTTGCTGGTCTCTGCACAGATTGGTGAGTGTGTCTGTGATTTTTGCATAAACGAAGAGGTGTAGGTGGGGAAATGCTGCATTCATTCCAGCCTAGATCAGGCTGCTGGGGTGGTGCTTTGAGCCAATGCAGGGTAAACCCTTTGGGGCAGGAGCTGGAGGGGATTTGGAGGATGGTGAGTCAGTGATATAATGAGGCTTAGCCCCCTGGAAAGCAGCAGTAAGCCGCATGCCTGATTTCGTTACACAAGGTGCAAGCTACATTCAGGCAGGTGGGGGAAGAGGGTGGAAATCAGGGCTGCCCAAAGCCAGCCTCTGCAGCAGAACTCACAGTGGAGGCGGTGCAGCTGGGAGGATGCTGAGCGGCTTAGCTGGCAGCAGCAGGCGAGGGCTGTATGGCAGGCGCGGGCTCCCCTTGGCGGAGGTCAGCAAGGATGTCAGCCAGGTCGAGCATGCAGAGCTGAACCTGATGGAGACAGAGCGCGGTTACTTTAGGAAGGAACTTTACCTGGATCCAGCCAGTGATGTCCTGAAAACACAGCGAGCCTTAAAAGGAGAAATCCCAGCGGGGGCTGCTGTAGCAAATAGTATGGTCCACTCCCTGTAGGAGCCTTGGGTACAGAGGGGCTCACAGCTACTAGGCCTGTCCTGTCCCAGGAGGGGCACTGTAGGGAGTGGGACAGGAGTATTGGCTACTCCAGTCCCAGCCTCTTCCAGTGAGAGGCGCTGTACAGGGCGGTGCAGAAGCATTGGCTGTAGGCTGTGTTCTAGCCTCCAGAGCGAGCATCTCAGAGCATAGGGCTGGGGAAAGCCAAATGCCGTGAAGAAGAGCGGGCAGCTGCATCTCTGACCGTGTCAAGCTGGGTTTCTGTGTCCTCCAGGGGGACGTCCACCTGCAGCTTCATTTGCTTTGTCGCCAGCTGGAAGAGGTTGAGGGCAGCCATCTTGATCTGCCCCAGTTGCAGGGTCTTCTTGGCGGCTGTGCTCTGGATCTCAGTCCACTTGGACTCCTGCATTGAGATTGGAGCAGAGGGTTATGGGATGCCTTGACACAGGCACTGCATCCCACTCCGCGTTCCTGAAACTGCCTGCCCCAGCCAAGCATCGCATCTGCCCTATATCACTGGAGGAGACTAGTCCTGGAGGGTCTCAGCACCCTCGCTAGAGCAGTGATACCCAGCCAGCAATCTCCATGCACCAGGACTGGGTTAAGGCCACACAGCCCAGCGATAGTTGTCCCCGCTTTGGGGACAGATGAGGCCCCTTCCTCACTGATTGGGCCCTCATCTTCCTCCCGCAGCAGATTCTTTGATCAGTTGCTCCATCCCCAGCAATGCTGCCTCATGTTCCTCTTTGTTCCCTCTGACCACGGGGCTCCTGCCTTCGTTCCCCTTGGCAACGTCCCCAGCTGTGAACTAAGCCTCCCCGGCCCTGGGAAGTAGGGATGGATTATCCCCACTTTGCCTAGGGTGGAAGAGGGCCACTTGCTCAGGACAAGGCCACACACCGGCAGCAGAGTTGAGAGCAGAACCCAGCATCCTGGCTCCTACCTGGCTGAGCCCAGCTGTCCACTTGCACTTCCAGTCCTGTGGGCCTGGCACCCTGCAGCAGCACCCACCACAGAGCCACATGGCACCAGCTGTGAGACAGCAGCCTCCAGCGGGGACATGCCCGTGTTCCTACTCTGTGCTCTGGCAGGCCTGAGTTCAAATCCTCAGAGGGGCACAAGTGCCAATACCTGGGGTGACCTCACTCTAGTGCAGCCCACAGGGCTGTGCCTGGTGAGTAATGGAGACCCACCCCCTGCCCAGTGGGCAACAGGGAGCCACTTCAGCAGAGACAGCTCACAGGTCCCTCGGGGGGTCCACAGACAGAGCCTGTCCAGAAGATGCTTTTGATGCTAGAAGCTGGCATGTCAGAGCCTGATCTGCACTGCCCCCCCCCCCCCCCCCCCCCGGGGGGGGGGGGGGGGGGGGG